ATGACCGGTATTTCTATTGAAAATAAGTTGTATAGCAGATCTTGGGTCAGCGGTTAGCGCACCGCATCGACCAATATAATAATAGTCTGCCACTTCCAAACAGTTAGGTCAAAAAAAAAGACAAAGCTATCTAGACTGGTTGGTAACCCCCTTAACTTGTTGAGGGTCATCCATCAGAAAAACAAATAGAATCAAGCAATAGACAAGCTTCAAAGGGAGGAGTCATCGTTAGACACAAACCATGGAGGCACCCATTTCCTGCCCCAGAGGAGGCTCATCAAAAGCCAAGCAAACTCATTTATTCGGCGAAAACCTTGCACTTTGAGGTCTTGCTTGGAAATCTCTTCAAATGCCAGTTTTGAACAAAATAAATGGCACCGAAAGGTCAACCAACGGAGTCAAATGACTCGTTTTTGTCAGAAGTCCAGTCCAACATAGGCTATGTATTGCATCTCGGGTTTAGTTAGTAAAGTAGAGTTCGAAGAAAGAAACTAAAGTGATGAGGTCAATAGGTATCCGGTTTGTGCGTCATATCTGTTCTTGTTGTACGCGAACGAAGCAGTTACATTAGCCCCAGAGAGGGAGAAGTGGCGGGAAAGCAGCCATCATGATCAACTAATTCACATGGTCCTTCTTTCTTTAGCTGCCAATGGAAAAAGCATTGTTGGATGGTTCTTACTTAGGGTGGGAGATTTCGTGAATATACCTCTTGATGACAAAGAAACAGCAGAATTTACAATCGAGGAGGGATCCCCCGCGGGGTTAAGATAGCTATCGAAGAGAAATTGAGAAAGGCCAGCCTATAAACTCAACTCCTTCTTTGAAATACAACGTAAACTAGAAAAGAAAGACAGTCTTAAGCCTCGTCTTCAGCCCTTGTTCAATCTCCACTTTCTTGCATTTATGCGGTCAATTTGGCAGCTAGTTGATTTCCGCTCGTAGATGAGAATTTCTATCTGACTTTTTGCGTTTAAACGGGATTTTAGTAGTCTATTTCCCCTCGTAGATGAGATTTCTTTTATTTTATTTTTCCCGTGATTTATGCTTCTTTTTTCAATCCTGAGACGAGTATGAGGTCTGTTGGAAGACGGAGAGGGCGAGTGAAGTATACGTAGCAGGGGAGTGAAGCAACGAATCATAGTTGGAATTGGCAACAGGACAACAACCTCTTACTCCAGTAATGAGGGGATACACGGGAAAGAGTCCTGCAGCCTTTCAACTTGCTAAGGGATGGTAAGAGCTGGTGGACATAGCCCTTCCTACCTCGACAAGGCCGCTAAGAAGCAGACAAGAAAAGGCGACCCATAGAATTCCAAGTTGAGGACTTAGAGTACTTGTGAAACTCCTACCACAACAATGAAAGTCCCTAAGTAAGATAAGGGGTTAATAAGAAAGAAGATATGATGGCCCCTTCCCAATAACAAAGAAGGTAGGAATAGTGTCCTATCAGGTGGAGCTTCCTCCGAGACTCAAGATACATCCACCATGCTTGTATGTTTAAGCCTTCAACTTGTCTACATTACATCTATTTCCCTGTCTCCGTATCTTATCTCTATAGCAACTTAAGTGGAAGCGAAGAAAAAGAATTCAATGCTTCGTACCAGATGTTTGTGAAAGAAAAGTCGTTCGGTCCGGCCGTGTAGTGGAGGAAGGATCGGGGACAAAGCACACCTGCGCTTCGTGTTCTGGGACTATCGGGCGAGCGAAGAGATTGCCCTCCCACCGAAGAAATCCCTGGATCTCCTTCGGAGAAAATGAGTGAGAGTTCCCGTCAAATCTACTGCTTATTGCGAGCTTGAAATCCCACTCCCGAAAGAGATTGTTAAGTTTGTTAACCAACTCCGAGTGTCATCAGATTCAGACGAGATAGACTGGGCTTTAGAAGACTAAGAGTTCTTTCCTGATGGTGTATGAAATCATACTAGTCCCAGGCTTTCTTTTCTCCCTCTCCCACCCATGACAGGATCGTTCTATGAACAGCCTGCTTTTTTTATTCCTTCCGAAAAGCGAGTGTGAAATGCCTTGTTTAATTTCTTTGTGGCTATACACTTAACACTAAGCAACTCACGCCAAAAAAGGTCTCGCACCGGCCTTCTCGTGCCACAGCTCTAATCCGAATGGCGTGTTCTTCCACTATTCACGTCCAGTAAGAAGTTCAGATTCCCAGTAAAAGTCAAAGAAAGAAGCCCATCCTTTTTTAGATAAAAAAAAGAAACTAGAAAACAGATCTGTCGTTAAGTCCGGCTTGCAGAACCGTCTTTCGGATAACTGTTAGTGTTAGTCGGTTAGCTCCTTTTTTTCAGTTGCTGTAGTTGGTAGTAGCGATAAACACTCCTATATTTATTAAAGAAAGACTTAATGAAGTGAGCTTGGTACCGCGGAAAGCCTGTTCAAGGGGGTGGAGGAGAGAAGGGACTCCCCCAAGAGAGGAACGAAGTAGCTCGACTGAAAGGAGAGGAACGAGCACAACGTCTTCATGAGTTAAGTGTTCCCACCTTGGGAGCTAGGTAAGATAGTAAGGCCTGCTTTGTTGAATATCCTTTACTGTCTTCCTTTATCAGACAACTATTCGAGTTCCACTTTTTCTACCGGGCAGAGCTGCAAAAGTGGCTTCACCCTCTTTGCCCACCCTAAAAAGATCTTCAGAGAGGCGTTAACCATAAGAGGTAGGGCTTTCATGGTATTGGTTGGGGTAAGGCGTGACGCCGGGTAATTAGCGGTAAGGAACTGGGACGTCTTTCCTACCACGGGGATGACCCCTCCTTCTACTTATGGTGATGTGTTCTATGTTCTGGTCTCAGCCCGGGTCCTTGTACGCTGAAGCTGTCAAGTCCGTACGAGGATACCGTTTCAGGAGGGCGATTTCCTTTTTCAATTCCAGAAGTATCGGAGCCTATGTAAAAGAAGCTGTAGAAGAGCACCACCACGGTTCAGGTCCCGACACATGGGGGATTAATTCAGCTGCAAGGATCGTGAATCAAGGGAAGGGAAGAATGAGACCAGAATTATGAAGTCACCCCCGACCGAGACCTAGATGGCAACCTAACCTAGTACGTCATAATTGAGAAAGGGAACACCCCCCCAGAGCCAGAACACAGGCGCCGACCTCTCCGCCACCAGCACAAGTGAATAAGAGAAGATCACGTCTCCGAAAGTGGCGGTATCACCGTCTACAGGTCGAGTCACGAGATCTAAAGTGCAAATACTCTACTAACTAGTAAATCAAGAAGGGTGATAGACGAAGGCCTTGGTCCTTCGGTGCCTTAGGGGCAATCATCTGCGCCAGTGTATAAAAAAAAAGACTTTTTCAATTTTTACAGTAGCGAGGAGAGCTTATGGACAAAAGATGAGGATTCCGGCGGCTTTTGCCACTTATGATCAGTGTTCACAAGAGCGAGACGGTTCAATGTCTTACAATGTTCAAGCAGCATTCTTGCCGGAAGGATTTTTTAGGAGGCCCGGACACCTACCGAACATCCCTGAAGGATGGAACAACATGATGAAGAAGGCGGCGAAAGTATAGAGGAAAATATGGGAAGAGAACAAGGAGATCTCTGAAAAGGGGAGGCAAGGAAGTAGTAGAAATGTTGAAGAGGAGACAACCCGCTCTTGAACTTAAGACTATGCGCGTCGCGTGCTCGATGACGCAATCTTGGAAAATTCTTTTGATGAACTGTCACTAAACTCAAAAAGAAAGAAGAGAAAGACACCACACTCTCTTTCTTCGTGGGAAAAGAAATGGGCGAGCCTCCAAGCTTCACTATATACCCGAGGAAGGCCTATTTATGGGACATCTTCCCCAGTCACAATAAGCTTCCAGCTCTAAAGGCCCATCACTCCTGAGCAATATTTAAGTCCAGGTACCGCTTTATTTCGTTGATCTTATCGATGTGAGTCCCAGCAAGAATCACGTCGTCCACATAGATAAGAGCAAGGATGAACATTGAATCATGATTGAAAATCATCATCGAGTGGTCTGCCCTCGATTGGACAAAGCCAATGCCTTTCAGTGCCGAACTTCTGGTACCAATTTCGAGAGGCTTGCTTTAAGCCATACAGTTACTTTTTAAGTCTGCACACTCTGCTATAACCTTCCTTGGCAAATCCCTCCGGAATCTTTATGTAAATTTCTTCATCCAAGTCTCACCATGCAAAAATGCATTATTGGGGGAGGACCCCCCCTCGGTTCACGTCAAAGCCCGGAGAAAGCCCATCGCGGCAGCATAAGACACGACAAAAAATAAAAGACTGGAGCGGATTTTCGTTTATTCCATCGAGCTAAAGCAAAAAAAGGTCAACCGGCACCGAAACCTTTTTCACAAGAGCTTCACGCACTCTGTGTAGGTTAATAAGTCTTATGGTCTGATGGTGTCACCGATGCAGGGTCTTACGACCATGCACAGGCTGACTACTATGCACAGTGGATACACAGTAGCAACAAGGAAACTAAGACAGATAGGTACTCCCTGATGAGTCTGTACAATCACACGGATCAGGATTAAGCACTGGAGGGATAGGACCCCGACCAGGACCTAACACTAAACCCATGTAATCATAACCGACATCTTGCACAATGTTGTGGGCACGCCAAATTAGCCTCCATCGAGTAAAATTAGGATCTTGTTGAAGATATCAGAGACTTCGAAGGTGAGATCTTCACCCCTCATCTCTGCAATCCTAAACGATACTGCTCCGCCACAAGTGGGTCAGTGATGAGAACATCATCACCGAGTACCGCATACTTATCGAACCGGATCCCCGGCCTTACCTGTTCCGCAGCCCACCACACCAATAAATGACGAGTGAACGCGAAAATAGGCCAAGAGCCATAAGCACTCTTTAAATCATAGCTGAAGCAGGTGTAGCTAGGAACTAAGCGAACCAAAGGCTTTGTTTGGTTAAAGGTCCCATCCATTTGGATGCTCCGAAGAACCGAAGCAAACCAAAGGTGAACAGGTTTCAGTAACCTCTGATTCACATAATTGCCAATAGCAAATATACGAGAAAGTAAAAAAATTTGTGCTAAAAAGTATAGAGACTATGTTCTTGTCTGATTAGGCTAGGTCTTTTTTCTGGTTCACCACAGAAGGCAGGTTGTCTGCTAAGTCTATGGTCCGATTCCAACTAATTCTATATAATAATAATTGATCCTTGTCTACAGCCAACTCGATTGCATCGACCCTTCTCTATTCTAGGAGCACCCAATTCAGTCATTCTCTTGTAAAGTGGACGATTTCATCATAACAAAGAGAACCCAGTAGAAAGATAGATCCATTTGCTTAATCTTAAGCTTTTCGATTTCCTTCTCAATTTGCTTCATCTTAAGCTTTTCGATTTCCTTCTCTAGTTGCTTAATCTTCAGCTTTTCGATTTCCTGATCTAGCATCTCTTCCTTATTAAAACTATAGATTGAGATTTGAGGGCTAATAACGAGGAAAGCCTCGGAAAAAGGGGACATACTGGCGGTTGGAATGAAAGGGCCTCGGCCGCTCGATTGGTTCGACGAATGGATAGGCACATTAGTGGCCTAATAGGAAAGGGTGCAACCGCATTCCTGTCTTGCTCGAGACACTCCTCGTCGTAACCATAATCGTTCTCAGCAAGCTTACCTAACTGGATTTAGATATCCCTACCGGTAAGATCAGAGATCTCCTTTTACAGGTGAGCAATCCATACAGAGAAGACGGAATCTATTCTATACTGGGTCCTTAGGAAGGTAGGGGGTTTACCCATCCCTAAGAGAGCACTCTACGGGCACGCCTTTCTTGGTACCTACAGGTCATAAGAGCTCTCAACCAATACCTTTATATGTCGCCAATTTACTTGATTTCGCGCGTATACCTCAAGCGGAAGCATTCTCAGTGGAGCGAGTGTAGTGCCGAAGCGAGCCGGCTGTTACGCTTCTACCTAGCAAGAGCTGGATTCGATACCCATGTAATGGTCGCACCGGCCAAGGACGTCTTACTCATCTTATTACTATATCCCACCTAATAAGAAATCTAAATATTCGAACTCAGTCATAGGACATAGGTGCTTGTGGGCAAGCAACTTCTATATAGGAAATGATAAATCTATTCTAGGAGTACCCGAGCATTCGAGGGGACTCATTCACTACCTAGTGCAGCATATGCAGGTAACGTTTCTATGATTGATTATGAAGCCTAGGATTCGCGTGCAAGCTTTGACATAAAATCTGCCATCAAGTGGCTCATTCTCCAGGTCAAGTAAAGGAGGCTCCTATTAAGAAATTACGAATTGGGAGATCCCTTGTCTTACCTATCAGTAAGGAGACCCATAAACTACTAGTTCTTCTGCTTAACGTGGCACGGAAGCTAGTGCGTGCAAGCGATGCTTCATACCAAGACGTCCTTTGCGAAAGCAGCAGGTGCACTTCACTCAAGTAAGGTATCTCCCCCAGTAAGATCTTAGATCTCCTGTTACAAGCAAGGAAAACAGTATAGGAATAGGAATAATATTAGGGGTTTTCCCCTGAAAGAACCTAAAGGTTTTTAAGAGCTCGCATATTGAAATGAAAAGAAGCAGGGAGAGGTGTTAATATGTGAGAAAGTAAGTAGAAGCCGGGTTACTTAAGAGCTAGAGTGAGTGCATCACGGAAGGAAGAATTAAAGGAAGTCCATTACTGAGAGAAATGGTGATCTCGTCTTGCTTGCTGGGAGAGAGGAAGCTTCTTTGATACACACAGTTTAGCCCATGCTAGACAATGAATGATTGTCGCTACTATATATAATATATAAGTAATTTGCTGACACTTTCATATAGTTAAGAGAGAAGAGCCCCTAGGACCAAAGCTTGCTTTCAAGAGTTCTTGTTTAATCCACAGCTTACGTAGCAAGACTTGATTCAGATATACCCCCTTTTTAAGGGGAGAGTCGTTTCAAGGTATTATGGGGTAATGGGCGTACCCGAATGAAAGAAAGGAGACGAGAGGACAAATGAGTATATCAACCCTATTGAGTTGAGAGAAAAAGAAGATGGGACTAGTTTGATAATAATAAGAACCTAACAGTAGATACAACCGGATATACTACTCTATATACTTCCCGATCAACTGCTATAGGCGCTTGCTCAGGCGTCACCCTTGCTAGGCGTTGATCAGTATCACAAGGCTGAATCGGCGGGGATACGGCATGGGGTGGTGTTAAAACGCACTTAATCCAGCATGCCATTGAACGAACGAACCAACAGGATTGAGATCCAAACACGGAGACACGCGTTATAGATCATACTCTCACTACACCTCGGGATAAAGAACCTAAGACAGAACCTCGGGGTATAGAACTCTCCCGGAACCGAAGGGCGAAGGAACGAAGTAGTGAGCCCGAAGGTTTAGAATATGCTCGACCGAAGGTTTATTATGAGCCCGAAGGGCGAAGGAACGAAGTAGCTCGACCGATAGGGAGAGGCTGGGAATTGTGACTATGAGCCGGTGGTAAACGCGGTGACGCAAGTGGTAACACAAGATGACAACGCTTACTTCTTGGCTCCCGGAAGAATTTCGACAGGCGGTGTTTGCTATGAGCCCGGATAAGGCACCTGGCCCGGACGGCTATAACCCCGGATTTTTTCAACAATTCTGGCCGGGAGGAAGTATTTGATACGTGCAATAAGTGGATGCAAACGGGGGCTATGCCGACGGCTATCAACGAGACAAATGTAGTGCTGCTGCCTAAGAAGGAGACCCCATGCACTATGAAGGACTTGAGACCGATCTCCCTGTGTAATGTACTATATAGAATCATGGCGAAAGTTTTAGCTAACCTATAAGACCTCTGATGCCCAGGGTAATCTCAGTCGAACAATCAGCGTTCGTACAGGGACGATCTATTGTTGATAATGTGATGATTATCTTTGGTTTAGAAAGCAAAGAGGGGTTGGGAGAAGTGCGAGTGGAGGCTGTTCCTGCCGATGAGTTAAGAGCTAACGAAAAGTGCCTAACCGAGCTTTTAAGGTCAGGTGGATCAGAAAGCTTATGCCCGTCCATCCATCCCTGGATCGGGCTTTACAGAGGCAAGCAAACAAAAGATGCCCATCTTTCTTGGGTTTCACAAAAGAATAAGATATCAAGTCCCACTTGAACCCCTTTTTCCTTATTCTAGTAAAACTCTCCCTGTAAAGTCGAGTCCTGCAACTCCTGGATCTAGCAGCTGACTCGTTAACAGCAGAGGTCTAGTCATCTTCGGCACCGTCACGCTCCAACGAAAGAGGAAGATAAAGCTGACTCGACTAACTAAAGAGGAAGCAGTGGGCTTGAGAATCCCCTTTTTGTATAAGGTTCCCTAAGACATGGAAGCTTTTTGTAACAGCCGGTCTGTAAACTAGACGACTTGCGCGAGGAGGAAAGCCGTTAATTCCAATTCCAGAATAAGTGCCAGCTATTGATCAAGGGTTGGCCGAGTTCGGGATTAGAACTAAAGGTAAGGTCGAGCTCATAAAGCATCCTTTATCCTATTGGCCAAGGGGAGTTGAAAAGTCTGTTTCAGGGCATAGGAAGTGAAGATCTGAGATTGCCGATCTAAAAGAGCGAAAGGCTTCCTAGCGGGCTCGGGTTCCAGGTATAGGTATAAGAAAGCCAGTAGAGCTAAATAGAGGTATACTGTACTTCTATGCGTATTGAGCTGAGGTGCTAATGCTTCCCGCAGGGAGAAACTATCTTAGTCATACTTCCTTGATAGGTGAGACTTCCACGAAAGCACGGATAAGAAGAATCTTAGAAAGCAAGGACTGAGGAGCTTCGGTGTCTTCTTTGCTTTTATAGAATATCCTCCGCTGCTGCTAAAGGCTTATTGGTAGTTTTTAGGCCAGTGAAACTGTCCCTGTAGCTAAAGTAAAGCCAGTTCATTCATTCATGGCAATCGGTCTAGTAAGGAAGAAGTGAGCTGTAGCCTTAATCTTAGTACGCGCACTATAAGGGGCTACCTAATGGGCCAGTGACAAAAGAAAAGTTTGTGTGCCGCGAAGGGCTACCCCTTGAAAATGGAAGGGCATGGAGAAGCGGATTCCTACTTCAATTCAAGCATTGGATCTCCTGTCTCATCTCAATTAAGAGGGGTCATGGAAAGAACAGGTTCAAAATCACGATCAATTCCTTGTAGCTCGACCGATAGGGAGAGGATATAGAGTCGTTTTTAATGAGAGGGGTAACACCTGAGAGCGTCAAAGATGCGGATTTATCTGAGGATCATCTTATCTCAGTTTTTGGAGAGACCAGCGGAAAAGCGTTGTCATCTCGACTCCGTTAGTGGAATTTTCCCCTAAGATTAATCTATTGGCAATGATGCCTACCGATCAAGTCGAGGAAGAATTAGCCAAGCTCAAACCAGATCCTCAAGATTTAACTGGGGCGGAGTTTAAGAACAAGCTTTATTTGGATGTGGTAAAAGCCGTTTCTCATAATATTAAAGAGAGGAAAGAACACCCTATTCAATGGGCGATAGAGAGCAGGTCGACGGTGGGGATGCCCGATGATCCCGCACAGTGGGGAGAGTTTTTTGTCCGCAGGCGTGAGTCATCGCAAACGATGGGCAAGATGTATGGTGTCAAAAGTCCGTTGCTTTCTAAAGAAGAGGGACGCAAGCTGACGGAGTATCTGGATAAATTTGAGTCTACAGATGTTGTAGTTTATTTGGAGAACTATGCCGAACGATTGGGTGGTCTAAACAGCTCTGATTGGATTGAGACTATGGAAGACTTAGACCACCCTGTTATAGGGGACGTAGGGTTGTTATTAAGGGTGGATCCTGATGCTGCAACTGATGTTTTAAGAGGATACAAATATCGAACCCGCAATAAAGGGGAGAATATACGAAACGAGATAGGTGAGCGTTTTGATGCATGGTTTAAGGAGTCGTTTAGGCTAAAATACGGAAAAGCTTTTGCGAGCCTTGGTGATTATGGAGACGCTAGTTACGATAGGGTGTCTCGACTAGTAGGATACCATCTTGCGGGATAAAAAGTATACCTTTAATGAAATGCCTGAGAAATCATTTAAGGAGTGGATTCTGGGGTGCTTCGCAATTTGATAAAAATCTGGAACATTCTTTTGAAGCTATTGTAGGCAATACTCCTGTTCCCATTGGCAATAAATCACATCTCATTCCTCCTCGTGGGGTGTCTCCCGAAGACAAGTTTAAAGAAGCACGTGGTAAAGCTTTTAAAGAGGCTGGTCGTTCTTTAGAACTTGATTGTGATTTTGAGAACTACAAGGTTTTGCCTGATGGTAGGGCGGTATATCTTGCTAAATTTGGGAGAAGCTATATCACAAATCCCAAAACAGGAAAACACCTTGAGATTGAGGTTCGTAATGATTCTTATTTTGATGATGAAGAACGGGCTATTGGTACGACGTTAAAGGATACTGAAGGTGTGATGGAGGGGTATAAGACAAATACCGTTAAACGACTGTTAGAACCCCATAAGGAGGATAACAAATGACCCTCATTATGAGTTATGCTAAATCGGAAAGAATTTCGCAAGCAATAGATCGTGCGATATCTCATGGATTTTACAAATACGATCCCCCTCCGCCCCCTGAATATAGTTTTTGGACGGATATAGCACATGCACCTATAGAGTTTGTTAAAGGAGGCGTTGAGGGAGAGGTAGATCTTGCAACTTCTCTTGTGCCGGGTACATCGGTATTTTACCAACCCCAAGATCCTTGGGAGCATAAACCTTGGTACTCAGTCAGTGAGGATACAGGTGTTATCAGTAGTACTTTCCATAGTATTGGTCATTTTTTAGCATCATTTGGGACAGGTTTTATTGCATCTGGTGGTAGCCCCCTTGTTGGTTTGTCAGGGGCGAGTTTAGCATCAGCGGAAAGGTCATATAAAGATCTCAGAGACGCAGGAGTTAAGGATGAAGACGCTAAGACAGTAGGTGGGATCAGCGGTCTTGCTACTTTTGTAGGGGGAGGGATTGCAGGTGTTTATGGCAAATCACTGTTATCCAAGGCTATAACAGGGGGTGCAACGTTGTTTTTGGGTTAGGTGAGAGACAAAGCATTGGTGCCTATTTAAACCACCAAGGGGATAAATTAAACGACCAAAAGTATAAAGATTTAGCTCAGCATTATTCTCAGTTAGACGCAGCCTATATGACTGCGGAATTTGTTATTGGTGCGGGTTTGGGTGTGTTGCACGGGAATACTGGAAAGCATCCTGATATCAAGCCCCACGAAGTTGATAGTGCACAAGCGGTTAAGAGTGATATTGAGAATATGGTGCATTCTGCCCCTGGAATCGCAACCACTCATCAATCGGCTGAGATTCATGCCAGCACGTTAGAGCAAGCCATTGAGCAGATGAGAAGAGGGAAGGAAGTAAGGGTTGATCCTGATCAGATGGAATTGATGACAAAAGACATGATTGCCAAGCCTGAGATTGAGTTAAGTCCTGAGATGAAAGAACTTTTGAAGCAAGGTGAAGAATTTACCCCTCAGCAAAAGAAAGTTCAAACACCATCGATTGAACATGATCCTTTGTCTCCTCGAGTTCCAGAGTATGAACACAGATTGACAGAATTAGAACAGAGATTTGCTCATGAGCCAGAAATAAAAGAACATCTCACCAGAGATATTGAGCTTTCCAAAAAGGATATTTTTAGTGCGGCTCTCAATTGTTTATTTGGAGTATCCTAGATGAGGGAAGAATGTATTACTGCTGTTCGGAAAGCAGCGGGTGAAATCAAGTTAAGTGATGCGGATATTGCCCATATTGAAGCCCATATCAGGGAGGCTTGGGAGCATGAGGGATCAAAGCATGCTTATTTTTCTCGGATTCCTCTAAATGAACAAATCAACAGAGTTGGTAATCGAGCAAAAGAGTCTTTCTTTTCTGATGCTTCTCGCCTCAAAGCTTTTGATTTGTTAGCAGAGCTAAAGGATGTGGGAGATGGTAAGGGTTTGCAAACCTCACAGTTGAAGCATCGTATTGCTCATCATATGAGTCGTGGGGTTTCAGTAGAGGGTTCAATAGGACATCTCAAGAGAGAAATTAACGAGAGGTTTTCCGAATTCGCCGAATATGGATCGAAATACGCAGGGTTTATGAACGACCCAAAAGCCAATACGGATCTTCTGTTAGCTCTTCGTGGTGATAAAAACGTACACCCAGAAGCCATTTAAATAGCGAAGGTATTCCATGAGGCGATGGATTTTCTTGTGAAAGAAGCAAAAGCTGTTGGTATACGGTTTCATGCATTGGAGAATTATACGCCCCAGCCGATGGATTTTAGGAAACTATCAGCAGTAGCGAAAGAGACGTTTGTCGAAAAAGTTATTCCTCGGCTAGACGCAAGTACCAAAGAAGAGGCATGTTGGACGCTGAAAGTTTACGCTCTTTTGTTGGGGAAGTATACGAGACCCTAGCGAGTGAGGGCAGAAACAAGACGATTGCGAGTTATGGAAAAAACGTTTCCCACGGTGGGTATATTGGAGGACGTCTACGTCAACCCCGTCAGCTTCATTATACTCCTCAAGGATTGGTTGCCACCATGAAAGAGTTCGGGAGAGAGGTAACTGTTGATGGGATGATGGGGCGTGCCTTTGACAATCTCATTCGAGATATTGCCGTTGCAAGAGAGGAGCAAATGCCCATGAGAATTTTGAATTTGTTTTGGCAAAGACGCAAGAGAGAGATAGGAAAGCGATAATAGATCGATATCCAACAGACGATAAGGCAAGAAATAAAGACTTAGCTAAGTTAGCAGGTGAGGAAAAGGATGCACGGGACTATTTTTACCGTTTAACCCGAGGGAAAGCACCACCGACCACGCTGGATAAGGTTACCGATACCGCTTTGGCATGGCAGGTAGTAACTAAAATGGGCAAGCAAGTACTTTATATTCCTATTGATATAGTAAACTCTGTTGGTTACGCCAGTAAGCGTGTGGGGACATCTTGGACGCAAACAGGGAGTGACATATGGAGTGCGTCTCCAATGGCAAAGCTGACGAACAAAGAGAAGAGATCTTTTATCAAACATATCACTGTCGGTGTTGACCATGCGTCAATGGGGTTCTCCCATGATTTAGAGACGAGTACTCGTAATGTTGTAGTTCATTCGGCAAAAAAGACGCAAGATTTGGCATTTTTTACTGCCCTTGACAATATGATAGTTAGGGGGCTTTCGGCATCGCTTCAAAGCTACGTTGGTGGGTTTACTCGTAATTTGAAAGATATGGATTCTTTAAAGAAGAGGATAGGCGAGCAATCATTTAAAACCATTGTTGAAGAACACAGGTTCACCGAAAGAGATTTCAAAATTCTCTCCATGGCGGAACCAGAAAGTTTTAAGGGCAAGGGAACATATCTCACCGACAAAAATATTTAGAATATCGAGGAAGTTAACGCCTTTTTTAAAAGCAGGAGAAGACGCCTATAGGGTTAAAAGTGATCTTGCGAATAAATACAGAACTCTTATTTGGTCGACTGTTCAGGAGCATGCGAGAGGCTCTGTTGGTGCAACCATGCAAGATACTAAGTATATAGCAGGGCGAGGATTAGGAGGGAACTTATGTTGGCTGGTTAGCCAATTCCTCGTTATGCCTATATCTTTTGCAAGAATGCACTTGATAGAGGGTCCTAACAGTATGGTAGGAGGAGGATGGGGGATACCTGCAAATGTATATCGGGCAAACGTTTTGGCGACTACTTATATCATGGAGGAACTTATAAAAAATGTCCTTGTTCCCCTTATTTATGGTAAAGAGCCACGGTTTTATATTACCAATCCCTTAGATTACGCAAAAGCTGTACTGAATGCGGTGGAGCATTATGAAAGATTCAGTCCCCTAGGTGGGAAAAGTGCGTGGGATATATTAGGTCCTGCGCCAGCTCAAGCGGGTAGGCTGGGGACTGCTCTCTACGAGGTTTATAACGAAGACAATCGAAAGAAGAAAGATCAAGCTCAAGCAAGAGCCGTCAATGAAACTCTGAACACCATTGTTCCCTTTCAAAACCTCTGGTACACGAAGTCTGCGACCATTTTGTCAAGGAAAAGCTGGATGATGTTGTCAATCCAGGGGGCAGAGCAAGGGGATTAAAAGCTCCGAGCTTTTCTAAACCGACAGTGCTGACACCTTGTTCATTCATTCGACTCACAAGAAACCAAACAGCGGTTTCTCCTTGGTCCAAGCAAAGTGAAGAACTTAAAGACAAAATATTGACCCCTCTTCCCCCTACTGCGTGGGCGTGCCAAGCTCCCCCCTCCTTGGAATTGGGGGAAATGCTACATCCCAAAAGTTGACCGTTGCGATTCAGTACCCACAGAATGGAATAAGGATCTTCCTGATAGGCCATCTGCCTTATTCGATGGTCAAAAAGATGATCGACATATTGGGTTAGCTCTAAAAATTGAAATCCTTGCTCACTCGCACCGCTCACAACCTGAATCTTTCTACCAGCCCCTTGAACAAAAAGAAGTTCATCACCTACAATAAAAGGAGGAGATTCATAAACACTGCTTCCCGCTAATCTCCTCGAGACCAGATTAAAACCTCTTTCAAAATCAAGAATAACAATCCATATAGACGTATCAGTCCCAACAATAAGCCCTTTTTCCATCGGTCTAAACCAACGAATTTCAGACATCGTATCATCCGTTACTGCGGTAGATAGGGACTTACGATAATAAAGATTTCCCTCTATCGTATCAGGGCTAAAATCATTAAATACATTATAGCCAGAGAAATAAATAGCTTGAGGATCAAACTGTGATCCAGAAAAAACAGAGCCTGTTCTGATAAAAAGACACATGAGAGGGATACCCCTCAGTTTTCCCCCAAGCACTCATATTCCAATGTGAAATAAAATGATCATCGGTAACACAATAATCCTTGCGAAAATCAACAGTAGCGGAGCCCCCCCCAACAACATTGACGATTTCCCCCCAAACGTAATATGGGGTTCTATATTTCCCCCCAGTTCCAAGAGTGGCTTTGCCGTCTTTATCAACGCTCAGCGTTTGGGAAGCTGATATAAGCTTCCATGTAACCGTGCCGTCTTTAAGATAAGTGTCTCTTTTATTGTCCTCCCAATTGTCTCCTGATACTCCTCCTGAAACGCTCTGATATACTTTTCCATACATCTGAATAAACGCATTCTCAGGGTATAAAGTATTTTTTTGCCATCCTTGAGGAAGCCACCCAATGCGAAGCATTCGTCCAATATCACTTTGCTTGAATAAAGGGAGTGAGGATCTAACTGTCATCTTCCCTTTTCGGTTAGTAGAGAGGTCAACTTTCAATTGAGCATCATGCTTTTTCCCACCTACCTGACGCCGTCCTAACCATGGAGGAGGCTCAAATGTTATCTTCTCAAAAATAATACCTAAATCCGTAAACTCTATTTTGTGAGGCGGATGCCGATGTGAGGCTAATACAATAAAATTCCCCATACGGGCAAAATAAAGATGTTCGGCTTCGTGATGGTTATAAGGCGTATCCCAGGAATGAATAAACTGAGGTGTTTTCGTTCCTGTAACTGAAATATACACCATCTGCTTTTCGCCCAAGATAAACAAAGCAGTCTCATCACCACCTAAAGCAAAAGAAAGTATGCGACTTGCTTGAGGGGGGAGCTTTATGTGTCCATAAAGCCTCAACGGGGGTCTTCTCACCAGCGAGCCGTCCTGCAAAGGAATCAAATTAAAACATTGAGACATACCCCGAGAATGCATCTCAAGATCACTGCGAGACTGAATAATCTGAGGAGAATATTCACCACCAACAAAAGAACGCTTTGTGAACGCTACATTGGGCATCTCTAATACTCCCTATCCTCAGTAATTTCTATTCCGTCCATGTCAATCGCCGTTTTCTTCAATTCTTCAAATTCAGCTTTGAGACGCAGTGCCAGTTGAGAATCTGCCGTCAAAGTTGGGCATAATTCACTCGCTAACTTGCAAGCAACCGCTTCTTGATAGAGAGGGTCGCAATCGGATAAAGAAACCTCATCAATATACTCGATAGAAAGAGTGTGAGAGGATCTCTCTTTGGCAACAATACAATCACCCTTTAATTCTCCGTCTCCTCCTATCTTGACAACTTTGTTCAATTGTAGTTTAACTCTTATTTAGATTTCTTGTAATTGAAAATTTGGAAAGATTCAAGATTACACTTGAAAGAACCACAAGCATGTACGAGCTCTGTCCATAAAGATTAATTGTTAATATCGGTAGTCGTGAGAGTTCAAACATTCGACACGTCAATTAAAAATTCGGATTTAATGTCAAAAACTAGTTAACCTCGCTGATTTAACATGTTCAGATTTGAGTATATAAAATTTTACCATTCATTTACAGAAGAAAATTATGAGTCCCCTCCACAGTCTACTCCTCCTATCTTATCCACTATCTTCCTTCCGATTTTTCATTTCAATTCTCACAAGGCGCGGATATTTCATTTACCAGAAATTGGATCGTTGTACAGGTAAGAGAATCAGAGCTGAATGGGAGAAAGGAGAAAAATGTTGTCCACATAAACAAGTGCAGGTATACATACTAGTTCCTTACCCCCAATATCCCATGATCGATCCATAAAAAAGTGTTGCTTTACTTGGTGCCTCTTACATATTGTATTTTTTTTTATAATGAGGAGCATCATCTGTTTTGGCATGCAGGTTCTTGGAACAGAGCAATTGTGTAGGAATGTGCAGCAATCTGTGCAAGGTGCCGTCTCAAACCTTCATCAGCGGCTCCTTTGGAATGCCGGTCAACATGGTTCCTAGTAAGTTAGCAGCAGCTGCTGCTTTCATTTCGTAGTCAGTAATCATATCATCATGTGAATCCACAGACACTAGACAAAACTGCAGAGGCAAGATTTAGTGGTATTTGTCTCCATTCCACCGAACCCTAGCTAATTGCAGGGGGGAAAGTGAAAACAAGTTTCATTAGAAAACCCCATAGGTGGAGTGGAGTTTTCCTGCAGAAATTTGTTGATGGAGGGAGGGAGGGACCCAGAGCTCAACCCACTTAAGGAGCAAACATGCAACTAGACCCCATTCGGTCTCTGGTTATATAGTCATAGTTCGGACCAAAATAAGGTAGTAACCCAATTTGAAAAGCAAAATCTTAATGCATACTGCAATACCCAAGTAATATTCATAGATTTCAACTCTCTGATTGATGATTATGCAGATTTTGATGATATGAGTTGCGAGATGATATTTGGGCAGGAACCCCCACCATTAACTGAAGATCCAGCTTTCAAGCAACCATGTTTCAAACTATGTATGATGTCTCACCCCGTGTCTCATCACTTTGGTTACAATTGAGAGACTGCAGACAATTTGTTGACTTTGCATTTTGTTGGATATGTTGCAGGCAAAATAAACAGAAGCCACAAAGACAACTGCAGAAGTTGAAGGGATGCAGTGCAAAGAGTGGAGAATTACTCTTTTCTGCAACAAGAACCTAACCTTGCTTGCTTGTAACATACACCGACCTTACTCACCGTGGTACAAGCCAGTTTCAGATACCCATATTTCTAGAAGTCTTGCAATGCCAATTCCATAAGGATCACATTAAAGAAAGGTGCTTTCTCTAGTTTATACATTACATCTTGCTGACTGTTAATCAGATCGAGGGCTTGCTCATTGTCAGCAGTAACAGATCATAGAAGTGAATCTTCATGATCACCATGTTGCTGACTTGTCATCTAGGCTGGCTGTAGCAGTAGAAATTTGGTCTCGTCACTCATGTTCCAATACGAGGAATAGCTTCAGCCATAACTGTTGATGGCGAAGAAAGAAACTGAAGAAAATATTATCCTCCCTTAATTAGCTCTTGGCCAAAAAAAACCCAGTATCTCGGTCTGCCGCCCATGCCCAAGCGAATGGGCTAGGTTTTCCAACTGTTATTTCACTTGTTTGGGCTTCAGAGATGAGCGATTGGGCCGCTTGTACCAGCTCCTCGGCACCAATTCAGCCGGCCTGTGGCTGGCTACCACTGTCCAAGTACACATGATAGGATTTACAAGTTCCAATTATTCAAGTTCACAAACCCATGGTTACACATTGATTAACATTTAACAATGATAAACTGACTTATTGGATTTGGGTGACGGATTTTCTACCTAAATTTCAAACATGACCGATTTAGCATAAATATTTTGTTTACTTGTGAAAAATGGAAAAAAATAAAATTTGTGAAATTCACAGATTTGTAAATTTCAAATGAAATATGAGACTTGAGATATCGGTCTAAATTCGTGATGGTTTAAAAATATTTTATGCTCATAAATTATATTGTAGTACGATGTTTTTCCTTTGTTGCATTTTCTTTGCGAGATGAAGTGATGAACTTGATCGAATACCAACCGAATTGCTTTCATTTTTTGCAGTACGGCAAGAGAGTAATAGTATTTGACGATTATTGAAGACTAACATCCCAAAAAACCCTCTATTCTTCTTCTTGCCGATATAAAACACAAGAAGCTGTCAGGGTCATCATTTTCTAAATTTGTGAAATAACGATGGCCGTAGATGTGAAACTGCCATTGAAGTTTCTCGCATTTTAAAGTTTTGTGGCAAATGATTGTACGAACTTGCTATAAGAATTAAGAACTATATACCGTGATTAGCTGCACAATATAAAAGTCTGGTGACTAGTGACTTTATGAACTTGCTATTAAATATCATTCTTGAAATACTAATATGGATACAAAGCAAAGATTAAAAAATGGTTAAATCAATATGTGTAATTTAGCAATATGAAATGGGTGAACATCAGTTAGACTACTATTTCAGCATAGAATACCCTACCACTAACTTTTGTGATTGATACGATTTTACAATCCTTCATACAAAGCATAAATTAACTTAGAAACCGCTATGACCAGATATGTAAAAATACCAGCCCCTGGATTCCTCACAAGGTTAGCTCTTCTCTAACTAGCTTGCTTGGATCGGACTACTATTTTGTTCTTGTGGAAAGTTGGACCGGAGGAGAGTAATGGTGAAAAGGGGCCCAATCAGTTAAGGGGGATGGGGTTGGGCGGGGGAGCAAGAAATGGGCCACCACCAGAAGAGGCCTAGACATATCTATACTATATGGAGGAGTGCAGGCCCACCATCTGAAGACAAAGCCCTCAGTCAATATGCCCCGCAATATGGACGTTGATGGGTCAGTGTGTCCAACTGAGATTTGTTGTTGTTATCCTCGTTGCCGCCCAGCTGGGTGGGAGACGATTGGACTTGTTGAAACATGGTAAAAAAGCTGCCATTAGGGAAACCCCAAGAAACACATTATTAATAGAATTGATACCCACAGCCACAGCCACAGCCCACAGGCCAGGCCATAATAACAACAGTCGAGTAAACAAACAGGAGATACCATGTGCTTCTGCTGCCCTCCTCCACACTCTGGCTCAATGATCATCTGAAATTCCCATTCCATGCCCCCTGGCCCAGGGGGAAAAAAAAGGAGAGAAGATGATGAGATGAGATTAGCTTCGGCAGTAATGGAGTCGGAAATTCGAACAAAAAGAGCTGATTCGAATTATCGTAATTAGGAAGAAGGATAAAAAAAAAGGTTACAACCTTCTAGATTCAACCTAGCTCTGTCACTGCGAACTGGCCCGCCTACCACATCCACAACAATCAAATAAACTGGGCCTCGCCTCGCCTGGCTGTTGTCTACATCGCACTCTAGCTTAGCTCCCAGCAAGCATTCAATAATTACAGTCCTCCTGTGGGAGTTTAGGACTAGTGGGTTAAAGTAGATTACTTCAGTTCTGTTTCCTGAGGCCTGACCAGATATGTAACTGGCTGGCATCCATAACTGCTCTGCCTGCCATATACAGTGGCTTTCATTTCTAACCTGTTCTACAATATTAATTCATTTCATAGTGTTACTCTTGTCAAAAAGGTGTCTTGTATCATATGACTAGTTCCTATGATCGGATATTACTTATTTACATGATCTCGTTAATCAATTCAATCATTTGAATTCTCGTGATCTTATTTTTTTCTCTTTATTATTTTTTATCTATTGGACAGGATTGTAATCTATCTCTTGATTAATCTTTTGATGCTTTCGTATACTTGCCGTTTATCTCTTTGTCAAGTTTACCTAAACAAACCAAGTTGAATTGCCAAACAATTTTGGTGGTGGTATGACACCTCTAAGGTCTCCCCATTGTATGATGTCATAATTTCGAGTCATACGAATGACATTTCTGATCTTTAATCTGGGTTATTTGTCTAACCTTGTGTTGGTGTGATGTGTTGTTTGGATGGTGTGCAGATGAATGAGAAAGAAAGAAAGAGATGGAAAGTTACACCTTGGATTCAAAACTTGAGATGAAGAGATTGAAAGAAAGAGAAGAAACCGGTAGAAGTTATTATACTGAAGCAAACAACTGGAGTTCGTGGCTCAAATGAATGAATTGCAAATCCGGAGAAGGAAGGCTAAGGCAAAGACTTTTGTGGGTTGTAACTGAATTGGGGGCCAAATTGATGCTCCTTTCTGCTATAATAATCATCGTTCATCGTCAATGGACCAGCCAAGGCAAAGAATAGTCGTGACGTGAACAGAAGCAAAACACTACCACATGGCATGCGATGTAAAGTGGGAAAGTGAAACCTTGAAAATTGAAGCGCAGCAGCGGCCAAAGCCAAAAATTTCCTGGACCCTGCACCTGCACCAGCTGATGCTATGATGACACCATCTGCCCCATTCCCCACCCAACACCCAACGTGACCAACACTTTCTGCCACCCTCACTCAGAACCCCCACACCCCTTCCCTGTTGACCATAAACCTTTTTTCTGCAATCATTGCTCTCTCTCTCTCTACCACGCTATTACTATTGTTATTATGCACACAAAAAAAACCCATGTTACCAAAAAGAAAAGAGAGAGCTAATTGGCTTTGCTTCCTTTATCAGCAAACGCAACTTGTGCTTTCAATCCAGCATTACATCTAAAACACACAACACACCAGCTACATCAATTAATTAATTAATTAATTACTAACCAACTAGTTAAGTGGTAAATCATCATTAAATTAATCTGCGGGGTTTATCCACTCTTTCCCATTTCCTCCTCCTCTCTTCATGAGTCTACACATGGGATGGGAAGAGCGAGCCGTTAGATTTGCCTTGGGGCCCGACCCCCTCCCCACAAGGAAAGCGCTATTTAATTTAACTAACTAATTAATCCAGAAAGCAATAAACCTTAGTACGTACGGTCCGCCGCCCGAGGCATCATTTTCTTTCAGAAAACCAACTTCCGGCGGGGGAGGGCGGCCAAGGCCGGTTGAGCACATCTGCCGGCAAAAGCAGCCACGTCCCGGATGGTCTCGCCGATCAAATCCTTGAAAATTAGCCTCTCCATGTCCAACACCGCTTCCGACATCTCAACAGGGGAATCCGCCCATCCGTTCACCGCATCCCCTGCCAGGTCCTTCCTCAGCACGCCACAGATCACCTCGAACAAGTCCTCCGCCGACGACGGCGACGATTCCCTCGCCTGCATCCTCTGGAACTCCGACCATATTTGGTTCAGGGACGCTGCTTGCTGGCTCTTCGCCGACGAGCTGGTGGAGGAAGCAACGGCCTTCCATGGAGGCAGCTGTCTCTTCTTCTCCAGGATTTCGTTGATGGTGTCGAAGATGAGCCTCCTCTGCAGTCTAGAACTCTTGGAGGTGTCTTTCCCTCGGAGGTACTGCTGTTTCTCCAGCAGCAGGAACACGTCGGAGTCTTCCGGTAGGTAACTGGAAGCGCGGAGGACGTCGGAGACGTACGTGAACTCGCAGTCTTCGGGCTCACCAGCTGCTGCTGCCGCCGCCGGGCTCCATGTGTCTTCGTCTGATTCCGTTAGATATTGACCTGATCGAGCAGACATAAAAACGACAATTAACGTAAATTTGACGGAAACGACACAGTATCGAGTAGTCCGGTAATAAACAGAGCCAATGGGTTGGGTGGCTTGGTGACAGCAACACAAGCTTTGGAATTAAAAGCACAGAAAAGAAAAAAACGTTCAACAAGCGTTAGCTTGAATCCTAACGGGAAGGCTAACTGAATACCGCGTTGGGGAGTGTAGATAACGATATATGATACGGTCATTGTTGTTGTCAGCCGATAATGAGCCCATCTTAATTTGCCAAACCCCACGTGACAGTGCCAGTATCCCATCCCACCGCCACATGTTAGTGTTTGCTTTCCATCTTTATAATTTCCCCGCGCCCACCACTACTGTAGTGTACATCTCTTCTCCTTCTGCTCTCTTTTCTCACTTTTTTTCTTTCCACGGAAAAGGAAAACACTCTCAAGTGTGTATACATGAATGAAGGAACCAACAAACGAGCGGATCGGTCCCCTTCACCTTAGCCTTTACAAATATTTTGGTCCCCGTTTCAATTCATTGTGTGCGTACTCTAGTCTGAAGGGCAAGTATGGAAAAGGAAGAATAGAAGATAATGCAACGCAATAATGTGAGGAGATTTTGGGCCGAGAGAGAGAGCCCATCCCCCACAAATCCGAGGAAAGGGAACGGATGACGTCCTCTCTTCCCTTCAAGTAAAATACAAATACTGACAGTGGGCTGAGGAAAATTTAAAACTGGGAGTTAATTCTCTTCTGAAACTACGGGAGAAGAGAAAGAAGTCATGATCGAGAGAAAGGACTAAGGACCACTGACGTAACGACAAGTAAGCAAAGGATATCCTACATCTTTAGTTTTCGGCCTTAAGGAATCCACTCAGCCACCACGACGTCACTATACTACACTTCCAGTCAAAGTGCAAAATCTAGCATATTCAAACCCTCCTCCCGTTCCCTTAAAATGGCAAGGCAAATTGGAGAAAGCCCATTTCTTTGGTTTTTGTCAAAACCAGACAAGCCCAATTTACTTTTAGTGGTAAAATAAAAATACAGTAATAAAAGGAAGAAAAAAAATGTATCTTGGCGTACCTTTGAAATCGACGTTCCGTTTCATCACGGGGGAAGGCCAAGATTCCTCCTTGTACAACGACGAGTCCAGAACCGAAACCGGACTCGGCTGCAACTCGGCGTTCATCTCTGCAATGCTGTTGAGCAGCTTGTCGCATCTCTCCAGTATATCTCTGCCTTCTCTGTGTTCCTCTGCCGCCTTCGGCCTCTGCCATTTTCCCAAATCGTAATGTAACGGTAACGCCGCCTCAGCAAAACAAATAACAAGAACTAATAAATTGACAATCAAACAACTACTAAATTGGTACCTCGCCGGCGTCGGAATGGGAAGTGGAGCTGATTAAGCTGCTCTCTGAAACGGTGGATGATTCATCTTCCGCCGCCGCCCTTCTCCTGCTCCTCGGCGATTGATTGGTCGTCTGCTCCGGTCCGCTTCTTCTCGACGCCATCTTCGGAGACTGAACGGGAGATACGCGTCTCTGCTGAACCGAATCGTTCCCGATTCTCCTCTGTGTTTCAACGCTCAACGGTCTCCTCCTCAACGGACTCTTGGCGCCGCTCTCGCTTCGCGTCGGCGAGCTGGAATTCCTACCTCTGGCGTTGCTCCGCGCGTTCCTTTCGATCTCCGGCCGATCCCGCCTGGGGCTGACCGCCGGCGAAGGCTCGCTGGAGAAACTGGAATCTCGCCGGAGGCCGTATCTCGCTCTCAAACTCGCTGGCGGAGAATCGCTGCCGATTGTTCCCCGGTTCCTAGGTGAGGTCGATCTGGTTGGCTTCATCACAACTATTGGCGAATCTTCGAAGCCTCCGTCGTACACGAAGTTCCGGCCGCCGATTTGGTTCGCCAGGGGCGGCGGCTTCTTCGAATGCAGCAGGCCTTTCAGCTGCAGAGCCTCCAGGATTTGCTTGAGAGTTTCGAGATCTTTCGAAGGCTCATCGATCCCTCTCATTCTAAGCCTCTTCTCGATCTCGCCGTATATGCAAACGGTCTGCTTCGGCTCCGGGAAGAAATCGGCAGAGTCGAAAAAGCTCTTCCTCTGCGCAATTCCTCTGTTTGGCTGTCTCGCTACTGTTTCGACTCTGCCGTGCCGTACAGCATTGTACTCTTTCGGAACCTTCGCCGCAGAATCTCTGGCCGCACTGTTCTGCTGCAGATTTTGATGGTGCTGCGACTGCGCTGACTGCTTCAGCTGGAAATTAACGCCGTCAATGAATCGGTACTGGAGGAGATCTCTGTTCGCTCTTGACTCCGATGCGGATCTCCTTAATTCGGGTTGCTTCTCCGCCGGCTCTAGATCAGATTCAGGCAGACGTTCCAGCCCCATCAATTTGGCAATCACGCTCGGTGATCGGTTCTGTTGCTTCTCGCTGTCGTCCGCCTCTTCGCCGCCGTCCTTGTCTCGATTTTTCGCCGATAGCATTGCTGCGGTTGTTCGGAGCTCTCTGGGCTTGAGTCGTCCTTTGGCATCGACTGTGGCTCTGCTGTCTAGTGAAAGCCTCGGAGCCTCTTTGTTAAATTTCCACGACGACTTTGTTCTATCGAACACAGGGAGAGGAAGTGGCGATTTGGAAGGAGGAGCATCGCCGGGAGGCGAAGCTTCCGGAGCCGGGGACTGTGGGGGCTCCGGCACAACCGCCGGGGATTGCTTGAACTTGTCCGGGGAAGTCATTGATCTAGATTCAAAGTGCCGCTGCTGCTTCTCCGAATCCGGGGACATTTTTTCCGCAGGAGAATCCATCATTGTCTTCTCCAGTTCCGGAGTCGAATCAGCGACCTGGAAGCAAATTCACCAAACATTGTAAACAAAGTAACAAACTAGAAAACGAAAAAAAAAACCGAGAGAGGATGGAATGAAGCGGATTATGATGAAAAAGCTCAAAAGTACACAACAAAACGGCCAGAATGAGAAGAAAAGGAAAAGGCAAGGAAGTCGTACCGCCGATGGAGGAAGGCGTTTGTTGGAGTAGAGGCGTTTGCCGGCGAGAATCTGATGGCGATCAAAGATCTGAAGGAAGCCAGCCATGCAACCCATTTGCTTCTCTATCTGCTTCTCGAGGCGAGCCTCCTGCTGCACAACCCCCGTCATTTTTGTTTGTTTTTGGGATTTGATTTGCTCTATCGTCTACTGCAAGTACAAATCTAGAGTTGCCCTCAACCCCGTTCAACGCTCTCTCTATCACCAAAGAGGGAAAGAAAGGAAAAGCTCTTTCTCAGGAACCAATCACTCCCTAAACCCCATTTGTACTCATCCTTCCCTCTCTTTCCCTGCTTGCTTCCCTTTCCTCTCTCTCTCTCTCTCTCTCACACTCGGTCTGAGACTGCGCCTTGCATTCATTAACGTCTCCCGCTTTTGTGGTGTTTTTAAGGGAGGTTGGGGGAGGAAAAGCGCAAAGATTGGTGGAGAAAATGACTATCTTCCCCCTCACGAATTACGTGGAATTCCACAATTGCCCCCGTCGGAGGCGGGGTCTAAAAAAAACTTGTAATTGGGTTCTGAAAGCAAAGGCAAATTGGTGGCGCCAAATCCACGCAGATGCCAGGCAACACTGCCTGTCCCCTGCTGCAGCTCGTGGTACTGTTAGTGGCGGACGAATGGGTAATCCACCAAATATTTTAATTTAGGGTTGTTAAATGCTTTAAGAACCCACTTAAAATCTGTTAGCTAACTTTAAGTGCTACCGAAGAGATTGTCACAACTCACATGTAGTTTTACCGAATTAAAATTTGTGGCACTATCACGTTTGAGGAGAGGGGGGGTTCCAAATGCCAAATGGGATAAGGATACTCGTTGACCTAATTCTGGTGTAGTGTATTGATATTAGCATGTTATGTAAGATTGTGTGGGAATTGAATTTCTTACGTAGGATGATTGTTGAAGAAGCAAATGTTGGGTTGACAGGATGAGTACACGATATTGATATCATGTGAGATGTCGCAGATTTTTGTTGTGGTGAACAAACTTGCGATTGTCGAAATGTCAATACAAGTTAGTGACAAACTATTTGCACGTCAAAATATATGTTATCTACCGTATTACTTGCTTTTATTAAAAAAAAATATACCGTATTACTTGCTTATGAGAAGATCAGTAGCTTTAGATGGTTAAACTGGCCACAACAGACAAATAAATTGAGTTGAGTTTCGTGGAATTGGGGGTTTGAAGCCAACATATATCCCTATCCCTTCATCTAAGGCCACTTCTATTCGTGCAATCTCCTTTTGCAATATAGGTATGACTAGCTAATGCATGATTTTGCTTCATGCCATCACCTAATCAATGAAGAACAAGGAAGTTAGGATATAATATCGTTAACTGAGGGTTTCTATGAACCATTACTCTAGTCTATAGCATCGATGATCTAAGAATCAAGCATCATCATTAGTCATGCATAGAAGGGTAACTAATCCTCCAATACGTGTCTAAGAAGGATGCCTACTACACTAGATTAGTTTCCTTGTTTCCTATAATAGTAGCATAAACAATGACTATAATAGCATCAAGGTAAAGTCGCACACATAGATATGTTAAAACATCATATAAACAAAGCATCGATGATCATACACAAAAGATTATTAAAAAATATAGAATACAATAAAGTAGGGGTGATAAACGGTTAGCCGGTAATCGGTTTACCGTTTTACCAAACCGGTAATCGGCGATAATCGGTACCGATTATCGACGGTATCGGTAGTCAATTGAGAAAGGGGGCGTTCGGTATACCGGCCCCAATTACGGTAAGTCGGTAATACCGATACCAGGGGACCAGTACACCACGTTTTGCCCAGTAGCCAGCAACTCCAAATCCTAAAAACGAAATTAGGGATTTCATTTTGTCTTTGGCTCTCTCCTTCTTCGCTTCTCGTGTCTGACTCTCGACTGACGAGGCGACGACCAGGAAGCCCCCAAACTCCGAAACCCAGGCCAGAACAGAGATCGTCAAAGACGGCGACGGCAACTGATGAGTTGGAGTCCTATTTGAGAGATGTTGCTGATGCTATTAATGAGGAAATCGACGATCGGAAGTTTGACATTCTTAAGTGGTGGGCTAGGAACAATGTTAGATATCTCATTCTTTCAGAGATGGTTAGGGATATATTAGCAGTTCTAGTCTCCTCTACTGTCTCGGAGTGCGTTTTCAGTTGTGGAGGTCGAGTTCTTAGTCCTTTCGGATCTTCTTTGAGCCCAAACATTGTAGAGGCCTTGATTTGTGCTGAATATTGGATAAGATATGAAAATGGAAAGACTGCACATGAACTGAATGATAAGGAAGAAGATCAAGAGAAAATTGATTATGAAAGTGGTTCAATTTATTATTCTAATTTTTCTATACTCTTTACTATTTAAATTTTAAACCATTCTATTAGTAACATACTAGGTTTTGTGTTTTTTATTTGCTCTAGTTACTAATACTTTCCAATCTAGTGTGGAAACTGCAAGTGACGTTCCAAGTGGAGCACACAGCTTACCTGTTAGGGTTGATGATGATGATGATGATGATGAGGAGGAGGAGGCGGAGGATGGTGATAATGAAGATTCCACCGACGAAGACATGAACCTAGATGGCGATGATGATCCTGATGATACTCTTCTCATGACTTTGAAGCGGCAAGGTTGTGCAAATGTTAGTGTTACAAGTTCTACCGGAGATGGAGGAGAATGAGCTATTGGTAATTTGGTTTTCTATTTTAATTTTTAAGTTTGGACTTTGAACTTGTGTTGAATTAGACATTATCATTAGGCACTTTAGTTGATTGACGAATGACGACTATGTAATTATATTGCCTGTTGACTTGTTATCCCTTTGAATTTGATGATATTTATCGTTTAATGAATTTGAATATTTGATGAATGATGATGCTTGATGAGTTGATATTGATTCATGATTGTTGTCCCTTTGAACTTATGTTAAATTAAATAGATAGCAAATTTGAGTTTGACAAATATTAAGGCATTCACAAATATTAACATACATGAATGGAAGTAAGTATAGGCCTAAAAAATATTATAAATAAGAGTTAATAATTAAATTATTAATTAGAAAATGAAGAAAAAACTAAGAAAAATCAAAATTTTATAGCCTGCCCACTGCCCAGAATTTCGGTTCGGTAATTTCCCGGTAAACCGAAAAAACATGGTGTGACCCCTCATTGTGGTAAATCGGTAAAAGCGGTTTGTATCCGTTTACCGGGAATTCGACAACTAGTAAACCAGTTACAAACCGGTATTGATATTCGATCTCTCCCCCTCCATGCTCGGCATACCGTTTAGCGGGTCAGTCGGTAATCGGTTTATCAATTACCTACCGATTGCCACCCCTACAATAAAGTATCTAAAGGAAAAAGCATCGATGATCATAACATAAGACGAGATAAACATCTTATTAACTCATAGAAAGTAATACATGATCATCATATAATTCACATTCCTAAATATATCAACTAGCAACGTAAAGGAGAGTGGAACAAAATCACCATTGATACAAGCATCGATGATGAATTATTCCTAGTCGAGCTCTAGCAGGGCTACTCCTCTTTTATGGATTGCTACTTCTGCCCAGTGGGGCAGAGTGGTGGTAAAAGGTGTTGTTCAATTTGTGTATGCCTATGCCCCTATTTATATCAGTTATAGAAGGGGGTTTCTAGTCATTTCACTCCTAAAAGTCAGCCAACTTGTCCCTATTCGACTTACTCAATTTCCTTTGACTTGTGGACGAATTTACTTACAAAGGAAGCTTCCTAGACGAATTAGGGCTAGCAACGATGGTCATTTTTGCTTGGGCTGTAGCTCTCCTTTCACTTGGGTTGGGTAGCTCCGGGCCCAATTAACTCCTCCTACAATTTGTAGAGCGACGATTACTAAAAATATATCTCGTGGGCCTTGGTCCATGTCTAGTCTGTTGCACTAACAAATCTTTTTTTTTCCTCCTAAAGTGGACATCCGATGTTCAAATCCATCTACGTTTGGGTCCATGAGTTTTTCCAATATGCTCGGAGGCTGATGTTGGTCGACTAACGATCATATCCAATACTTGTCGGCTGCTCTATTTCGACGATAGAGGAATGGCAAGCTGTTAATATCCTTAACCCTGTTAGAATTAGTCTGCAATGTGCAATAATACATAAGTTGTGGATCTTTCCTGTCCAGCGAGTAGCTTGTTGATGAGATTTGATGGAGCAGATAGGAGGAACATAGGAGGCAACATTGGTTTTGTGGGCTTTGCTGGAGATTTCTCTTTGGTATATGCGTTTGGTAAGTTGTATCCAGGTTTGCTCGACCCTTTCTTTGTTTGAACTTTTAGCACTTAGGGATGATATGGTTTGATGTTAACTCATGGTTTTAATGCTCTTTAATTAGCTTTAGGGGGGATTCCCAATTGGTGATTCGTCGAGTCTTGGACAACAAGGTGCAACATGACATAGGTGGAGCGATTCTGGAAGAAGTTTGATTGATGAAGACTTCCTTTTCATTTATTCATTTTGTTTATGCTCATCGTAGTACTATTTCGTGGCAAAAACGGCCATTACACCGATAAATTAGCGCTAGGTTAATTGCCTTTTTTTACTTCAAACTATTTGTAATCTCCTATCGATTTACAATCTACTGAAAGAAAAAGTAAAAACCAAGAGGAAATTACTTGCATCACCTGGATTACACATATAATGGTGTGTGCCATTATACATGTGGTTTTGTATAAAATCTCATTACTAATTCTATTTCTTGTACGTCCTTTTGCCGTGACATTCTATTATGTTTTCCGAAAACGGATTAAGCACAGAGAAACCATGATATAAATTAGTTGGGTATGGTTTCGTTTGTGTTAGATTGTGGGAATAATGATGAAATCGAAGAACCCATGATGGAAGTCGGGACTCGGGACAGGTCATGCTGGTCGATCCGCTCCGCCGAGCCCATTGAGGAAATAATAAGACCCTCTCTGTCTCTCTCTCTCGCCGTGGGCGTTGTTCACTACGTACGTGTCAGAGCTCGCACTACCTACATTGAGGTTCGTGAGTTTGAACGACGACCACCTTCATGACCGACCGACCCACCGACCGGACCTCTATCACCCAAAAACGCTCCAAGAC